GTCGAAATATCGCATATAAATATAAAGAGGCCGCCCTGGCACTCGAGACACGATGATTCCGGATTCAATGGAATTGACATATGCATCTTCTAGCCGTGTTCGATCGAGCAGCACGAAGAATCCCCGTGTTCTCGGATATGACGGCAATACCGGCGATAATCGAGTGCACGTGGAGCGTGCGCGACGCGCAGGAGGAAGGAGACGGAGTAAGCTATTTTTACTCCCTATTGCATCGGCCAGAGATAACGTAATATGGCGTTATTGTATACAATGAAACGAGCCGGTGAGACATTTTTTATTCTCCTCGGTGACAAATTGTTTCCTTTAAAGGATGTAAATACGTAAACAAAAATGACGTAAGGCTTTCCTGAAGAAATTGAAACTGACACTCGTATACTTGGATTTTACATCTTGCAGAAAAAGAATAATTAAAAAAATTAGCAAGTAAAAATCCGTCTGTGAATATAATGAGGATTATTGAACCTGATGGAAAATTTTGGAAGTAGAAATCTACATTTTACCGACTCACGTTAAAATGTAATGCGAGTTATTCGACGAGAGATTTGTGAAAATCGAACGGAATTTGTTCAGCAGGCAATAATCTGTCCCGTCGGTTGTACTGCATCTGATAAGTTCGCCAACACGATTATTAAATTATTAACTGACAACTTGCACTGACGAGGTACTGTTATAGACCGTCAGTCCTGGATAATTTGTTGTGGCCACAAAAAAATCTCGAGGAATTCGGAGGTAATTGAAAAAGAATGACACGTATATTATCAACTATTTTAAATCATCCGATGTCAATATTTAGATTAGAATATAATAATGATTAATTTTATTATTTACGACACTTTGGTGTTTCATCGATATTTATACAGATCTGTAGTGAGAAATATATTAAATATTTTTGTGAAACCGTATTTTTGTAGTTGTCATCTACCGTGATTTGACGCAAAATTTATCGACGGAAGGTTATTAAACAGCGAAATTTTTCGTGTACGCTAAATCCCGTAAGGCTGATAATCTTTACTCCTACTCGGTTGGTGTCAACTGAAAATATTCAATTTGAATGTATTATTGAGTGCACAACTGCTGATATCTCGATAATGTCGGTAATGTCGTTCGACTGCACTACAAATTTGCAAAACGAATGCAATCTGAATGTACAACCGCTGATATCTCGAAAGTGTCGGTAATGTAACTCGATTGCACTACAAAGTGCTTTTGAGCCAACATGTTATATACCAATACATTGGTAAAGTTTTAGTATTTCCATGGTGACGTTCGAGATGTCGCTTTATACGAAAATCTGCCATGCACAGAAAAGAAGGAAAGCTTCGCTATAACATGAATGTACATCTGGTAACGTAGAAACCGGAATATTACCATATGCGCTGGTTGGTAACAGTTCAAAATCATTTCTGCATAATGTAATTTTCTGTGTCTTATTTAAAATAACATTTTCTTGAACTCATTATAATTAGTTTTTAAAAATATTTCCAAGCTGAACATTAAAATCTTATGAAATATAACGCATAATCAAATTTTTCACAAGAGGAATTGATATAAAATCGACTCAACGTATACATCATAGATAAACAAATTTTTTTAATACTTTCACACGATTAATAATTAATAATTATTTTCTTTCAGATCATAACAACTTACTAATGGTAATATTTGAAAATCAGCACACTGCAGCAGATAAGAGTCCATAGATCGAACTGCAATATTGTCGGTAATATTCGATGGAATTCAACTAGTCGGTAAGATTCAATTTTCCTTAGATAGGAAAGTATTATTGATAAGAAGTAAATTGCCGTTTATTGGCAAATACGTAATAAAATGTAATGAAATGGAAAGTGTAAGGCAGCAAAATTCACTTATCTTTTTGATATGGACTATGATTACGTACGCACGTACGCACACATGTAATAAACATTCGAACATGTATAAGTAGGTGCACTGATCATATTGAATAAAATACAATTGCAAGAAAGTAGGAACAAGCTTTTTAACGAGGCAAGAATACGAGTCGAAAAAACGTAGTAGCACTTTTGTCTTTCAAATTTTCACGTGTATGTCCACCTGAAGTTGAATCAGAAGAATTATGTAAAAATAACGAAATTGTTGGAATGTAGTTGTCCCCGGTGGTGGCTAAAATTAAATTTATAGCGGTAGACTGGTAAAAATGCTAATCCAAGTGCGCGTCATTAAGGCAAGCCTGTACACAGCGACTCGCCTCGTTATTTTCTTTGCTGTTTTGTATTCTAATACAGCAAATAATATTTTGCCAAATTGGAGGTAAACGCGCGATATAAAATTTACGTCCCGTTTGGATTGTGATACGCTTTGAAAATGTTTCATTTATTGCGTTACCGCAAAGTAATTAAAAGCAGGTGAGCGTAATGGAAGAATATAATTAAAAAGAAAGCTGTATCTGATGCCAGAGTTATTGAATCAACCATCCGAGGAAAATGCGCGAAATGGAATGGGATGTACAAACTTTTCAAGCCACAAAGATAATTCCAACTTGGCAGCCTTTTGTGAAGTGCTTTGATTAAACGATGTGTTCCAGTTTTGAAGAATTTATGTAAATGCAAGTTGATGTACAACTGGAAACACGGCTCTTCTGTCCGTACATATTCAGGCTGATTAGCAATTATAGTATGAAAAGTTCAGCGTATATTTCTTACGTAAACAGCGGAAAATGCTTGTGAAAAAGGGGAGAGCGGTATAAGACAGACATTATTTATATTTAATTTTATATCATGGATCTACCGAGAATATCATTTACCGAAGAGCTATTTGTTATTCGTACACACACATACACACACATACGCACGCATATCTATTCGAGAAAAAAGAGAAAACGCCTTCATTTTTAATCAATTAAGAAAAAAAGCTATTCTAGTCTCGGCATTATTTTATTTTTTCATTTTTATTTCTCCTTGCAGAACAAATTCCATCACCCACATCGGATCCTCCACATCTATCATTATAACTTTACTAGTTCATTTTGCAACATTCGCTGCACAAATTAAGTCGTTACGATTTAATCAATCCCCGGAGCAAGTGTAATCCCTCGTCCCAAAGGAGCTTCGCATTTGCATTACGTTATCTGTCAAGAGTTACTGGTAGCTGAAACTTGACGAGCTGATACGAGAACATTTAGAATAACGAGACTGAATAAGACTGTAAAGCCTTATCGCGACTGGTAGAAAATGCGTGACACGAGTCACACTTGAAGAATGATTAATTGCCAAGAATAGACGGCGGGGAGTAGTTTTAGCTCGTGTATATATTTCCTGGCGGATTAGATCTACGAGTTCCATATAAGAGGCAAAGTACAGAGTCGATAATTGTCGGCTTAATCGCGAATCGTGTTAACGATTGCTAGGCGCAACGCAACGGTAGTAAGATAACGGCGAAATGTTATCCCTTCGACATCTCTATTAAATACAACCGATAAAAGTGACCGTGCGGACGATCACATGCGATCGATATCGAGAAATATTATCGCTACGTGAGAATTAGCAGGCGCGCGATGTGTAACGATTTCGTTGCACCACTCCGCGCTCAGCATTTCCACTCAAATAGATACCATCGGCTTTTTATAATTTGCAGCGCGAGATTTTATCAACAATTACGCATCTCGCTCTCGCGTGCTTTCCTCCCGTTCGCGCTGTTGGAGCGCGCGTGCGCGGTTTTGCCTCGTATAAAATGTAAAAAAGACAAAGAGAATTGTTATTTTTGTGCATACACGTGATATTTAGAAACCCGGTAGCCGTCCGAATCGCGGGCACTCATCTCGTTATCTTCGTCGATGAACTCGCGCGATAACTCCGATCGTCGTCTAATTAAGTATTCATATTAGAGTTTTCAACAGGTTCGTCAATCGAGCTCGATCAGATTGAAAAATGCAAAATATATATTAAACGCAATTAAATTGTACTACTCGTGTCGCGTAGGACTCGATAAGAATTCTAAGCGCCAATCAATCGCGAATATTTGAAAGACGAGTATTTAAACGATACTGGAAGCGGCGAAACTTGATTATTATCCGACTGCAGAAACGTACAGAGCGAAGCGAAATACTACGGTCTCGGTGTCTTCCCTAATACGCCGCGGGAGTTGAATAACATTTATGGGGAATCACACTCCCTCGATGAATGTTTGAAACAATGAGCGAGCTGCGTGAAAGTCGAAAATTGAGGGATCGTAGGCGCAGATGACAATCCCATTGAAATCAGGATAACTTTTAATTCGCGGAAGGATCGATAGGAACTCGTCGCGTGTACTTCCTCGGCTTGCATGTAACGGAATTTAACGCGCCTAAAAACGCGCATTTCTCCTTTGAATCGGCAACTAGAGGTATCTCTCTCCCACAAGCCGTGCATAATTTGACGGGATCTCCGCCAAAGGGACGCGTAATCCTTATATTAGGATACATGAGAATTCGTGTAATTCTGACGGTGCTGGTTAAAGTGTAGGAGAGCGGCGAGGCCGGGGATCTGCAACGGTCATAAAGCTATCCACCCGAGGCTTTGAATCCTTTTGAGTTTAGGTCAGCTGATTATATCCTCGGCGGAGGCAGAGTCGGCGGCGGCGGTTTAATCCGTCTCCGTTTCATTTGCATCTTGCGCCGGTGGTCGCTCGTAAAACGTACGTGATGGCGATAAAAGTCGCGGCGTTAACGCGACGCCCGTTAACACGTGCCGACGGGACATCTGATAATGTCCATTACGTGCTGCATTCATCTTAATTAATGCAACGCGAAACACTACGCGCGAGAGCTACGAACAAGCCGGGTGTCTCGCGCGCCCCGCATTTATCTGCCGTGCACTTCGCTCGCGGGGACAAACATTCCCTCACGCTCGCGGGACATCCCGCTTTCCTTTCTTCCCTTTTTTTTCTCCTCTTCTCTGGGTATTTTCCTGCTTACTGCCGACGCGAGAACCGTCGTCGCAAACTTAATCTCACGACGATCGGCCCGACGTCAATCCCGCGACTCGCAGGACCCAGCTGATTCCCCGCGTCTCCGCCGCATTAATCGCGCGTGCTGCGTCGGCATATATTAAGGAAAAAGTTGGAGCGCCGAGGAGTTTCCTCGATAGACAACCGTTGCCCGTCGCTCGAGACAGTCACTTGCACCGAAGCGGTACATGAATACGCGTTTGAGCTGTTCACTTACGTAAGTCGATGTATTCTTATTTCCTCGTAAGTCACGGCCAATTTTCCATTTGTTAATCTCTCTCTCTCTCTCTCTCTCTCTCGCTCGCTCTCTCTTTCTCGTGCGCGGAATATGTATTCGGCTAACAACGATAAGTGTGATTGGTTCGGTGGGACGGTGTTCGTGATGTTTATTGTGTCGAAAAAGGAGACATATATATATATAGACAAAACACACAAACTGCCTGAAATATCACAGAATGAGGCAATAATTATTATCACTTTGAATATCTTCGAGAAATAAAAATATTTTAACGACTAGTTAACGATAAAAAGTTATTATGGAAATAAAAAAAGTGCATTTACAGAAGAGATATTCAAAATGATGACCAATGGGATAGCGATTTTTGTCGGATAAGTTTCTCTTCTACTCTCGTATTTCGAGGACATCAGCCAAGGTGGCTTTAAAGTGGTAATAGTTATTTAACTCACCCCTGTATAAAGCGAATTTTCGGTATAAAGCGTACAAAAAATTGACTGTCAGTGAATTTCGCGATCGAGGGTGAGTGTGCGAATTTTAGTACACCGCGTCCCACTTGTACCGCCAAATTTATGTAACTTGTAAATCAGCTCGTGATTTTATTTAATTTATTTTTACTGCAGAGGGAGAGGCAGGGATATACATACATTGTATATATATATATATATATATATATATATACGTAGCGCTTAAAATTTACGACTGTACAAATTCCGCAAAACACTTCGAGGTACCGGTCTCCTCAATCAATATTTCATAGTGATTTACGTTCGACGAGAACGTCGAAACACTCGCGGGGGAATAATGGCGCACGGGCGAATAAGTTCGAGATTTCATCGTAGACGGTCTTAAGACGGAAATAAAATATGAAAAGGGACACGGGAGCGGAAGTACCGTACGGACGGACGAACGGACCGACAAAATAAACCGTGCGGACACGCAGTAGCCTTGGCATTTATCCATCCCTCAGCGAACAGTAGAACTGGTTTATTTTACTCGCCAACTTCAATTTTCTCTGATAGATTATGGTCATGGAGCGGGATAGCGTAACGCAAAGTCTAAAATCGATTCTTTGCCTTTCGCAGAGGACAAAGCCTCGGCTGTTCCATTTCTTATCCTCCTGAAAATCGTTGAATTTCGTATTGCGCATATTACGTTCTCGTAAAAAGTGCTCCCAAATTTCGTCTCGCATTTCTTATTTTATTTTATGACTATATGTTCCAATTTTAATGGACTTAGTGGTCTAGTATCTCTCTTACTATCTCAAGAAAATGTGTGCATGTGTGTGTGTGTGTGTGTGTGTATGTGTGGAGAAACTTAAATATATTAAGCTGTAGCTTGATATATTTTATAAGAACTATGTTTTTATACGCTGAGACAACCAAATTAACTTATATATATACATACATATATACTGAGATAAATTGTTTTTATTTAGTCCGATAAAAAACATTTTATTAAATAAGGAAAGAACGTCAGAATGAACACAGCTCGAAGCAGCGATAGCTGCTACGACCTCGTAACCTCATTCCGCGAAACTGCCTATTTTCTGCTTTCCGCACACAAAGATTGATTCTTGTTCTTCCCTTTTTTAAGACCACTCAATTTTAAGGGTTGCTCAGAGAGACCAGCTTCCATGGTAGTAGTGGTGAGGCTAGTAATCGACTCAGGGGCAAGCCCAGCTGTACTTCCCCTCTTATCAGTTACACGGATTATCATCCATAAATAGATTCCCCGCATCTCGATGGAATCTTTCAAGGGAACTCACCGAGATACTTTCGTCTGACAACGCGACTGACGGATGTTTCGCAAGTTGCTTAGTGAACGACTGATAAAGTCCACTCAACCACCCGATAAGAATTGAATACAGCAGATGGGACGTATCGAATGGCGATTATTGTAATTACCCTTCCTAAATCGGACGTTTCTTTCTCGCTTTCACATCGCTCGATTAATTGCACGCGCGTCGACGCCACCTGTACATGCGTGAGTGCGTGCGCGCATTTTCGTGCAGCGTATCAAATTAAATTCGAATACGGTGACAGATTGATCATTATATTCAGACACTGTGATACGTCAAAAACAGTATCAATCGTCATTTGCATTATTGAAAGCTTAATTAATATTGTAGTATTTATGCGCTGACTCCGCGCGTTGCCGCACTTTGACATCAATACGCGTTTCATATTCTCCATACTTGGCGGAAATGTACAATCCGCCAACGTTTCGCGTTAATTTCTTAATTACTCATCCCGTCACTTATCTTAATTACCTAATTACTTATCTTACCTTACTTCTCTTCATTAATTACCGGTTACGCCGGTAAGAACAAGCGAGCAGGAAGAAAAATGCAATTAGCGCGCGAATCACTGCGCCTGTGTAAACGGCGCAGGCTGTTTGTTCTATGTTTTTTTTTGCCCGTTATTCGAAAAAAGTGACAAATGGGCGACAAATTGGTTGTATCGAGGGAATCGGGCCACATTCAGGCCGAATACCTTCTTGCGCGCGGCGCGTGCGTCTAGTTTTTCCCCGAGTGAAACTTGGCGTCGTGTGTGAGTATTTTTACATGTTATGGGACACGGTCGTTAACTTTTACGGCGCCATAATGCGCGTCGAGAGAATTATAGTTATAATACGAAGAAAAATACAGTATGCGAGGATACAATATTGCCGGTGCCGTTACCGTGCCATGCCGTGCCGGTAAGTATGAGTCAGCCATCGTCAGACTGTACTTCCCCCGAGGAACATTAGAATATTTCTCGGCGAACTGCGATAATATTATCGTATAAATATTTTCAATGTGTCGCCAACGCACGCGCACGTATGTAGACGCGTTATTACGTAACCTGCATACGCTCCCCCGTACGAGTCAAAACTATGACCCTGTGTTAAACACTTAAACTTGGAATTCCACAACGCAGTAAGAGCTGAAATAGCAAAATATGTTCAATTACAATGATGTAATTTATTCCAACTTCGACCCGGATAATGTGTTAAAGTCCCGGGTTCATTGATTTCAGCGTTCAAAATAAGTTGTTTTGAGTACTCGTATGAATTTAATAATGGAAATATCGAGGATACTTCTAACTTCCAGATAGCATTCGAATTAAAAATTGCAGTTAATTTAAATGAACACCATTCGATTTTTGTTTTCGTTTAATATACTTCGATCGGAGTGTTAAGCTTACAAGAATTCGGAATATATTTTCAAATCGATTTGATGTTTACGATGACATTGTCGTGACATATTTACAAATATATAAACTTACGAAACACTTGAAACAGGTAACATTTACTCTGGCGTGCGGAATGTATTTTTCCGTGTGTAAAACTAAACGTTCGCGAGAGAAGCTGACAAGCATAGTATTGTCAAAGCAGGTTTCTAATCTAGTCTTACAAGCTATCTAAATATATAAAGTATCCTCGAGTATTTTCAAAAGCGCCGAAGCACGAAATTTCGATTCGGGCGAGTGCGCGAAAATCTTATCGTGAATATCACCCGATACTCAGCTGCGCGTCGACACTGGCGATTATATTTCGCGTTGGTATTTAATTGATACCGTATCAATGGCTTACGGCTATACGCGCTTTTACATATCGACAGTAACGCCGGTCGAAAGCGTGTCACGTCGAGATGGGGCTTAAAAGTCGGGGATACAATCAGAACGTTTCGGCATTGCGAACCAGCAGAAATCCCTTCGCCTGATAGCCCCCCCCCGATCATAGCGCCGATAACAAATAGTACATATTGCAGGACAATGGAGGACGATAACAATGGCGGGTTCCAATCGACGAGGCCCAAGCTGGAAATCCAATGCGGCAATTCCTGCGAAAATGTCGCGGGCACCGAAAATACGCGGAGAAGACGGAAGAAGACGGCCGGTTGCGCCGCTCAGCGTGTGTTCGTCGCCGCGGTGGACATGATCAACCATGCACTGATAATACTGGTGACGGCGTACGTCGTGTATTGCGCGTCCGATATAAAGCGATATTATATAACGAATGTGCACGTAATCCTCTGCACCATCGGGGTACGTATATACCGATCTCTCTCGTAAAACACACGCTTAATCTCCTTCGATGCCTCGCCGATCCAAGGAGCATCGTAACTCGCGAATCGGTAAAATTGGCCGCGCGCATACTACTCGAGAGCGATATTCACCCCCGGCCTCGGGTAATCAAGCGCCGCGGCGAACTTCGTCGCACTCTTCCCTCGAGTTCTTTGAGGGAAGCGCGTTCCGCGCGAGAGAGAAGAGACGTCTGGATTAATTAGAATACCTCCGGCGCAGCCGCACGGGATATAACTTCACGTAAAATCCTGACTATGCCTGACGTGACCGACGGGTTCATACGAAACCGCAAGCCGAGAATTTATATTCTTCTTTCATGGACGACAGATTAAATGTCCCGCTTCTTCGATCGCTTCTCCGACCGTAGCGCGACAACACGCCTCCGCGCATTCCGCGCGTACATACGCGCGTATGCACAAAATGGGCCACTTAAACTATTTTCCCGGGAAGTACGCATCATGGCGAAAGATGTTTTGGATAAAAGCTGTTCGGTTCGAAGGGGGGGCAAAAGGATAGAGGCGTTAGTTTGACCTTGGATGAATGTACCCAGGCTCACATCACGATTTTTTAAACGGCATTTTTTATATGGTTTTTGTAACATATATTGATCCTCCTAGTCATTCTGTGTATAAATGTATTAGGGGTAAGTTCATCGAGAAAGAGAGTATCTCCCAAAATATTTTACACTATCCTTTTCTAAAGTAGAAATAATTTCTAAGGGTACAATAGCAAATGATTTTATTGTTTAATCTTGATTAGTAAAAGATCTGCTTTAAAAGAATACATATTTGAGAATTGACATTTTGATTATTAATACAAAACTATGTCGGAACTGAAGAAATTTCACTGAACGTAACCAAATATGCTATGAATGCAAACAAAGTGAATCACCACGCGCGTCTATATTTTTAAGTTGTTATCTAATGTAACGTTCCATGGCCTGTATTCCCTCCACTTCCCGCTTCTCTGTCTCACGGAGCGTCACGCAAGCTAACAGATCCCTTTCCCCGTTGTGACATAATTGTTGAATGGCGAGGTTATCGAAATGTGAATACTTTACGAGATATTTCGTATCATATAAAAAATATCAAGATAAATTGTAAAACATCTCTTGGAAAGTATTCATTTTTCAACGATCTTACTCTAATAGATTAATATACAAAATGACTACGAGAATCGATACGTGTTACAAAAACCGTGCGATTCCTTTGAAAAAATTCATGATGAGCTTGATACGACCTTGGCGCATCCAAAGTCACACCAATGCCTGAAACAATGCCGAAAACTATAGAATATTTAAAACATTGTTCTACTTGCGTAGTTTCAGAAAAAAAAAAAACAGCTTGTACAGCTTTAAATCGCCCATCCACCATATAATACGTGCTTATGCGCTTGCATTTTCGAGCGTGTGCACTCGTATGTAAACACTGGCGCACGTCGACATGAATAATTGCATTCTCGGCAAATAATTGTCAAGAATTATTGACTGATATCACCCTGCCATTCGAAAACTTTCCGTAACGCGTACGGCGGTGTATACGCGTCTGTCGTGTATATATATGCGCGGCAAATTTGTACAATCTGTACAAGCATATCAAACTCCGCTTTGCCCCATGGGCATAAATCAATTGCGATAATTAATTTCGCTGTATACTAATCTACCAATATTAACATGAGCGTCCATCCGTACTCTCAACGTAGTAAAGGTGGCCGCAGTCTCTCGCCCGGCGTTTTCTTATCCAAGACGCTACGCGCCTTTTGATTTCGCTCCGTTACACGAAACTTACAGCGGTTTCGGTCTCGGGGATTCATAAAAAATTTAAAGCCATTTAAAATTCCGAGCGGACCCTAATGAATAATTTACGCGCGATGTGACGCGCACTTTAAACTTGTTGTTTCGCGCAAATAAGGAGAGGGAAACGAGGAAACAGAAGTGTTAGGAAATATTCGCTCGCGTTCGCGTACGGCACACGCGGCGCATTTCTTCTTCGTTAATCTTACCAGATGCCGGGAAGCCGTGGAAAAATCACGTCTATATAGCGTCGTCGTTGTCGTCATCACCGTCGTCGGCCGTGATGTCGCACGAGAAAAAGTTTCGCTGTAACCTAAATTTTTTCAAAGCTCTTCACGTTCGGGACATCTTCATTTATTACGTAGCTCATCGGCATGCATCTAATACAAGCGCGAAGCGAAGCCCGCTCGAGGGGAAAACCCCCATCGCGTTAGTTACGTTCTTCTTTAAACTCGCATCAATATGCGAGTTTACGAGTGCACTCCGAGTAAATCGTAGCTCTTATCTTTTCCGTGTAAGAAGCTCCTGGTTCGCTTGCGCGAGCACGTTTCAAGTGCAACGATAATTGCGCTGCTTATCCGCGGGAAAGCAGAGCTTAGATATAGACGAATCGTCGATCCGATTGGCCGGCTCTTTAAGCTCGAGCGGCTATTCCAATGTGTTTCGTCGCCCGTCGGACTTTTTTCTTCCCTCGCGTCTCCGCACAGCGAACGGAGAATAGACGCAATTAGTACTTTTCTACGTGTTTTTTCGACGAACGCGCCGCCCAAACGCGCAACAACGTCTGCGCTCGTGGACTTCCGCGTGGAAATGTGTACCTTCGCCCTTTGTGCGGAAACGAATCTCGCTTCAGCTGTTCCGGATTTCGCGCACGTTTCATCACTTTTGCATGAATAAAACATTTCGCCTCGCGTGTCGATATATTTGCCATTATATATTGATAAGTCGGCGTATGTCTTGGGAGCGTCCGTAACGGAAAAGGAAAGCGACGCTGAGTTTTGCTCGCTCTGGCGAATTAACCGTCGCATGGCACATGTCTCCTCCGCGCCTTGACCTACGGCAAATTTTAAGCTGTCGCGGTAAAATCTGTTAATTATCATATGTGGACGGCAAAACAATTTGTCAAGGATATTAATTGCCATTCGGATTATTTCGCTGAATCTACAAATTATTTGGCTGTAAGAACAAATTAGTAAATAGGAAAGCACTATTTTGCCCTAAGCAGATTATCTCGAGGACAAATTCACTCGGCGGAATATTTCCTATCCTGACGACAAAACCGTTTCCGCTCTAATTACGAATAATTTGCATAATTTGGTTATGCCAAGTAAATGTTATTGCCGTCGCAACTAATATGCAGTAAGAGCAATGTTTTCGCTACAACAGCACAATGATTCTCTTCCGTGAGTCAGCAAACGTCCTCATCCCACCGGGTTGCGATCAATTCCGAATGAAAAATCGCTCGGGGTCGTAAATGACCCCAGTGTGCCAGATTAGGGTTAATTCCCTATTCGGTTCAGGTATTACGCACGGTACAGCGAACGGTATGAAATCGTGAACCCTCCTGAAGCCCGAATCGCACAGGCATTCGTACTGCCGTCCGTGTAAAATCCGTATCGAGCGACGATTGCGTCCTTTCTCTCCCCTCCCGCCCGTTCCCCGCTTCCACCCGTTCTTCCCGCAATCGACGAGGAGTTTAGGGCAGATAAGATGGCCAAAGAACTTGTAACGACTTAGCCAAACGACCTCGAACTTCCACCGCTCCGCTCGCTCACGAATCGATCTTGTCCTCCTCAGTACGTCCTGCTGATGTCGGAAGCCATCCTCGTGCTCGCAGGCGAAAACATCCTGACGAGCGCGTTCTCGCGCCAGGCCAACAAGAACATCCACTGGGTGCTGCAGGTGCTCGGGCTGATCTGCAACCTGGTGGGCGTAGGCATCATGTACAACGCCAAGACCGTGCACTTCCTCTCGACCCACGGCATCCTCGGCTTCGCCTCGCTGGTGATCATGTGCGCGTTGGCGATTTTCGGCTACCCGGTACTGATCGCGGTGAAACTTCGCAAATTCGTGCGGCCGGTGGTCATCAAGCTCGTGCACAATTTTCTGGGCATCGCCTGCTTCGTCCTCGGTATGCTCGCGCAGTGCTACGGTTACGAGAAGAAATGGATGTACAGTTTGACGCAGGTGGAGAACATCGACATGGCCCTGCTCGTCCTTACGGCGGTGATCATGCTATTGTCCCTGAGGGGCGCGCTTTTTTCTCTCGCCAGCCAGACCTTCGTTCTCGTGAGATCCATTTGCCCGGCCATTTCATACAGGGACGTCGAATCGCCCGGCTCGTCGGCCGGGAAATCGTAAATCTCGCGTTATTTATTCGTTTTCTCCCTTTCCACCGTTATAAGAATAATGTAAATAATTGGCGCGTAATAGCGTAATCCCGGGGATATCGCTCTATGCGATTCCCCGAATGGGATACGAACGTGTGCGTGTACAGCAATGGTCGATGTGTTAATAATCGGAACAATGTTCGTTAGATATGTTAGACGAATTGATATTAATCGATGAAAAGATCGAGTTCAATCTAGAAATCTATGCTAACGGGTGGTTTCATACATGACGCGGGGCGTATTACCGGGGAAGATCTGAGCCCCAAGCGAAAAAATTCGAGGTAATACGAAATAATAAAATTGAACGCGCGCTTTCCTCTGCGCACGGATATGTGCTCGCGTTTAAATTAATGGGAGTTATATACGTGCTCGAGGATGAAATATATTCGACACATTGCGAGAAAAAAGAAGAAGGAATAAAAAGGGAAGATAGGAGGATGCATGAAAACGGCATTAAGCTCGCTAATAACTTCACCGTATAACGATTATAACAAAACTTCACGGTGACGTTGATGCGATGGAAAAGAGAAGAGCATGCGTATACGAGTGATTACCCGATATCGGAGCAATTCGATGCCGTGAGAGTATTGATCACGGACAGAACGGCCCGGCCGAATGATTTTCTATATATATATTTCTCTCTTTCTATAGGATATGTGACGATTTTCTATTGAGAAATAAAAGGAACCATTTTTATACTAATGATTTTGTGTGTGTGTGTGTGTGTCTGCGTTATAACGTCGTGTCATTGACAGGTCGCTTCGATCGAGCGAGATTTGCGTGCTGGAGGTGGGAATCTTACGATGAATATGTATGTACCAGGTGTAGAAGTATGAAACCGGAATTTTTTTTGTAAAAATTACACGTCTGTTGTTTGAAAATGATAAAAAATATTTTATTCAAAATAATGTCCATTGCTATTTATACATTTTTCCCACCTCTCCGGCAGTTTATGAATGACACGCCAAAAAAACATTTCTTCTTTTGAAGCGAACCAGCTATCGAGCCATTTTCGTACATTTTCATACGAATTGAAGCGTTGTTCAGCGAGAGCGTGTCCCATTGATGCGAATAGATGATAATCGGACGGAGCCAAGTCTGTAGAATAAGCCGTATGCGTTAGTATTTCTACTTCAACTGAACGCCTCGATCGTTTCCCTGACCCGTTTTGCTGTGTGTGATGGGGCATTATCATGGAGCAAAATGACTTTGTGTTGCCTTTTTCCATATTCCGGTCGTTTTTCACGCGATTTAAATCGATCATTTACTGTTGGTAGCGATCAGTGTTAACGGTTTCACCAGGTTTTAGCAGCTCATAATAGATTACACCCTTCTGATCCCACCAAACACAGAGCATTGTCTTCTTTCCAAAGCGATTGCAGTGGATGTCGATGGTTCGCCTGGATTCACCCATGATTTCTGACGCTTAGGATTCTCAAAATATATCCATTTTTCATCACCTGTCATGATACGATGGACTTTCTTTTGTAGCTGTCGAGCAGCATTTCACAAGTGGTTTTTCGATTTTCTTGCTGTCTTTCATTCAGTTCATGCGGAACCCATTTTCCCACTTTCTGAATCTTTCCCATGGCTTTCAAACGAATTGAGACAGCTTTCTGCGTCACATTCAATTCATCCGCGAGTTCTTGTTGAGTTTGAGTATCATCTTCATCCAATAAGGCTTGCAATTCGTTGTCTGCGAACTTTTTCGGTGGTTTCCCACGCTCTTCGTTTCTCACGTCAAAATCACCACTTTTGAATTTTTTGAACCACTCGAAACACTGTGTTTTACCAAGAGCATGTTCACCGTAAGCTTCGACAAGCATTCGATGCGCAGCAGTTTTCTTCAAATGATAACAAAAAACCAATGCTGTCCGCAAATCGTAGTTCGTAGGCACAAAACTCGACATGTTTGAGGTTATAGAAAAATATACCGGTGTATGGAACTTGGGTTGTTGTGTGTTGAAAATCTTCTTTAGCTGTTAGAGGGAGATGATGGCGCTGCAGAAGCGGTCTTACGGTCCCTAAACTGATGGCTAGCACCATCTATAGGGAAATTCCGGTTTCATACTTCTACACCTGGCATAATACATATTCTCGATGTATATAATTTATTGCGATACGTGCCGACGATATCACGCTGTATTAAAACTGTATAAGGTGTAAAATTAATCGTGCGACTTTCGATGAGAATTTCTTCGACCAGGAGCGGGTCGCGGATACCAATCATACCGTCTATATCTTGCGCGTGCGGATTGAAAAGTTGATTCGTTAGACATTGGCGGTAATATCATGTTTAATGTTATGTTTGCATTCGAAGCGATTTAACTTAAAAAGATTTAAATTATCGTTGCAATTGCGCTCGAATTGCACGTAGCCGACCATTGTCGAATTACTCCCGTCCGCCGTTTCACGCTGAATTTGCGTCATTACATTTGACCGTTTAATGTAATAATTGATATATTTCGTTGCGGCGAGCGAACACGTTATTCTAAAAACGTATAGCGCCGGAGCTGTGTGAAAGTACTCACTCACACTCTCTCTTTCTCTCTCTTCTTCGGCTGGGCATTCTCGCGCGTAAAATATCTCGCGAAGGGAAGTCCGCCCTTTGGCGGCGGAGATAATGTTATTACGAAATCGAATTGCGAAGTGTTCCGCGCACAAGCATTCGGTTGCAGCAGCGCGCCACTTTAGCTTCTGACGGCGTATAAACGAGAAGTCAAAGTTTAATTAGACGCAAAAGCGCGGCACAGTCTGAAATTTCGAAAGTCGTAATTTCTCCCCGCCGCCAAACTGCAGTCCGCTTCTCGTTTCCTACACGGCGTATTCGGTTGCACTTGATGCCGCGTATCCCGACGCTTTGGTTAATCGGATCGATCGCTTCGAACCAGGAACAGAACTAGTACTTTCGAAGTGTTCGTTGAAGGGCAACACGCGATCGCAAAAAGCGCGAAACCACACGAAAATCCCGAGGAATGTTTGTCCGGATCTCTCTATTAGTTTACCTGTTACTTCTGCGCGGGGACAGCGACTTTTAATAAGTGTTTCTCACACGATGACGCGGAGAAAAGGGGACGGAGAACAAGAGACGGTGAAGAAGAAAATTGAAATCGGCGATAAGATCGGAATTATCGATCGGAAACATATATCGGGCGTGTGTATTCTTCACGACAACGCTGGATTTCACGCGGCAAAAGGAATAAAAACGCAATTTTTAATACGGCCCTAAAAAGTTGCACCCGGCTAATTCTCCAGACCGTTGCCTCTTTCAATTTTCAACTGCTTGAATCGTTGCAATATCACTCAACTGATACACATTTTAAAACAATAGAAGATATTCGATAATCTATTGATAACTTCATTGACCGAAAAGCAACAATCTAGACATTAAGACGTCGTAAAATATCGTAAAGATATCTTTTAGATAATATGACATTTAAAGAACGTCTTTGAAATGTCTTGGACATACGTTCTATCTAGCAGAGTGACGTTAGAAGACGTCATATTGACGTCATATTGATGTCAGAAGTGTCATATTGCCGTCAACTTGACGTCCTCTGATGTCACTCTGCTATTTGGGGTATTGTTTGGGAAGTTTCTGTTGGGGTGGAATTCGACAGGGACCCGATAAACGGTATAAGATCATCGATAATAGCGGAGATTATCTCGTTAATTAACCATAGTTCGTTACACTCCAACTTAATGAACCACTGAACGTTTTTCGGTTTCTAGTTTTCACATACCGTTTTTCTTCTTAAAGTAGCGATCGTGCGCTACACGAACATTAATTTTCTTAAATCGCGTTTGCAAAACCATTTGAGAATTTTATTTCCGGAAACAGTTTTCCCCCATTTCCTTACAATCTTTTTCTTGATCTGATATCATAATAATATCATAAACATCTTATTTACAGACTCAACATTTACAATTTCCACATTACAAGCTTCAAAATATTTATGAGAATAAAATAATCAACGTCACGAGACAGAATAATCGCAAGAGAAAAGGAAAGCATCAACAAATAGAACGCAGATACTGGAGCGATATATTAATATAATTAATATAAAGATACTTCGTTCTTAATCTTAACTTTACTTAACTTAATCTCACATCTAGAGACATGAGGGAACCGAGATTACAAAATCAAGTAATTCTACCGAAATTAAATGCACGTATCGGCCTTTATTTTTGAGCCACTTTCGGGAATTAATAAATACAAAGATAATTTAACGCATACGCGTCCGTAAGACAAAAATAACGAGGCGACAATAAAATCGCACATCTTCATCGGTAAATGAATCCAGATATTTCGTTATTACCGAAAGTACCGAATTGATTTCACTCGACACACTGATCAAACTTTCATACTCGAAGAACGAGAAAGTATGTTGCGGCTCCCGGATATTCGATCGCATGTAAAATACAGGCGGGTAAGAGCCAAGCGGGTCCGCGATGCGGATAATTTTCCTCCCGCGGGAGAATGATAACATCGACGGATTGTCTGAAAGCTCGAACTTCGGGCGCCGAGTCCGTTTAATACTGATTCGGTCACCCCGACGCAACAATTGCGCGTTTTATCCGGCGCTTTCCGCGCCTTAAAATCAATCATCCGCGTAATCGGCACACGCTGCGAGCGGGGTCATCGGGGGTAACGGCGCGGCATTGTGGGACCGTACGAACGCCGTTGTCCGCCGGTGCAGAGCGCTCGACGCGGGCGCAGCGCACGCGGGGTGTAATTAACCCAGCTGCGAAACGCGCGCGCGATACTGCCGGGAGTGCGCGGGGCTCGAGTGATATTTATACGCGCGCTCGATAACGAACGCAAGAAGAACCTTCATATTTATTCGCGATAGTAACGGCATCGCGCAGCGCGCAGATACGCGCGGGAGGCCGGATACTTGACCACCATTCACACACCGCGATACGCGCGCTTATCCCGATCGTCGCGATTATTTACTTGGGTCGCGGCGGAAAACGCGAAAATGTGTCAACGATCGCGTTAATTGGTAACGCTCCCTTCCTCCTCTCCGCCTGCCACCCTCTCTCTCTCTCTCTCTCTCCACCTACATCTCTCGCATTGTCTCTGTCTCTTTCTCTCTCGGCGAACTTCGACCGATCTCGGGCGAGCTCCGTCCCATTTTTACCGTCGCGGGACGAATGCCAGGTCGCAGATCGAGGCCTCATGAATCATTCATCGCGGATTAATTCGACGCGCGGTGTCTGTCCACGCTCCGCTAGCGCGAGTCCGTCTCATCCGTCCGTCCGTCCGTCCGTCCTTCCGTCCGTTTTCCTTATTGAAAGGATGACTCGCGCTGTTCTTCCCCGGGATTTTGTGTTATTAAATCCCCCCTGCCCAGGTGGTCGTAATAAGCGGCGTTTTAAAATTCCCCGGCGCTCGGAAGTTAGGCGCGCGAAGCGGCGACGACGGTGGCGGCGACGACGGCGGCGACGGTGGGGAGAAATTAAAATTCTCGTCGTTTTACAGCGAGAATTTCAAGGCGTCATTTCTCACTTTATGCAAATTGCTTGCGGGTGATATTTTATCCCGTGACAATTCCGCGCGGGCGTCCCTCACACGGGCGAAGAAAACAGATCGAAGTTCAACATGTGCGTCGGTTTTGCGAGGGAGAGCGTTCAAGTGTCGTGATAGCGAGCTGGCAGGATGACGGCGGATCTCGCATCGAAGGGGGTAAAAATTTACC